AAAATGCATGCCAAGGCTTAAAGCAGCAACAACGCTACACATAAAAACTGATGATGGTGGAAAAATACACCGAAACGTATTTTAATTGATAAATAAAGACATATTGGATTTGGAATTAACTTCAGTAACATCTGAAGGTTGCCACTATTTTGAGAGAAAGCTAGCATTTCTAGTTCGTTGAAATATTGGTTGTGTTCAGTGAAAAATGAGCTGAGTTTAGAGACTTTGCCCTTTGGAACATGCAACGATCAATTGACTATTATGACCAAATCATGGCATGCCGTGCAGTAGAAACTAAAGTTTAATTAGACATTTAAAGAACTGATTCGCACCTGATTTTGTCTCATTGGCGTGGGGGAGGGGCATGGGGACGGTCCAACTGATCCGGACCTGCGTCTTCGTGGCGGGGGGACGGGCACTGGAGGGGCTTCTCCTTTGGGGGGTAGGGGTGGTCGAATGGGCTGAAACCCTCGTTCTTCAACTCTCTATTTATTTTGAAAGAAAATGTTTAAATCAGTTTTAAAAACTTTTAAAACGGATTAAAGCCTCACTCGTCTGATGTGACTCTGTCTTTTGGGGTGCCGATGGTACATGTCGTCACAGGAGAGGCAAAAGTTCTGTTTGCACTGTTCGCATCTCACGCTAACTGTTGTTGAAGAGGATCCGCACAATTGACAGTGTTTTTGAGTAGTTTTTGGTGCTGAAATTTATACGTCGCATAAATATGGGTGTGGGGGAATGAAAGTTTAATATTTTTTCTTTATTACCAACTTTTTGGTCAGAATAGCGAGAATGTTTCGAAAAATCTCTAATTTTGGTGATACCGAAAAAAATATAAAACTTGATAATTGATATCTTTATGAAGCACTAGAAATAAAAGGACTTAGTAAAATAATTCAGTAAATTTGTACCTTGCGCATTAATCTTCTCTAAAGGAGGCGCGTTTGTATATTGGCCGAACTCGATAACTTCATAATCCGGCTCTGGATTTGTATGTTTTCCTGTATGTTTTCCCCAATTGCTTTCCTCACGTGGAATAGGTGGTGGTGGCACGCCTCCAGATCCACTCGCATTCTAAGCATTTCAACATATTTTACTAAATAAAATCATATCAACTGGACAGGGGCGGATCCAGCTTTAAAGTCAGGGGGGGGGGTTATGTAGAAAAAATACAGTCTTCTGTTATCTATGAAATTAGAAAAATGATCGTCGTT